TTTAAACAATAGCTTATAAATATGAGATAACTGGTTTCTTTACTTAATTTTTACATAAAAATTGAACAAATTTATCTCTGTGTGTGTTTGGTTTGGAGTGTGTTAAATAATCTGATCATCTCTATTTTTGACAGGAATGTCTCAAACACCCCTCTTTTGTTGAAAGTCTATTACTTTGGGGTGTTTTGTGACTAGACATAGCTTTGCAAGATGTGTCATATTGAGTTGTAGCTTGAATGTTGTGCTTTTTTGTAATATATTATTCCCTTCTTGTCTCTAATTTCTTTTGTCTGTGGAGTAATTCTGGGCTGTTTGATGGGCCTTTTATTCATATCTAAATGTCTTTCACTGGATTACTTGCATAATTTGTTGCATGATATTGGAACTGAGAAATTTAACTATTATAGGCCCTAGAGTTTGGATTATATTATTTTATTTATTTTTTATTGAGATGATCTGTAGATTCAATCACCTAATCAATAGTTTTGATCAATAATTGTTTTTTTCTATATTCAAAAATTAAAGAAGTTTCCTTATATTTTTCTTGCAGTAGAGTAGCTGGGTGTTTTATTTTCATCTTCTTCTGGGAGATTTATGATCCTTATCACTGCCCAACTTATGTTCAAGATCCATAGCTTTGGCTTATATAGCATTTGTATGTTCTTTTTCAGATTGTTGTCTTTTGCTACTCTTCTACCAAATTGTCTTCCGGTAGGATTTTTTAATTCCAAATTCTTTTTCAGGGCCTCTACTTTGGAGAGATTGTCTATCATATGTTCATTTTTCTCTGTTCTGTTGTTTGTGTTTTTTAAAGCCTGTATGAGCTCATTTTCAGACCACCAATTCTTTTCTTTAAAATTTTTATTTCTTAGGGGCAGCTAGGTGGCGCACTGAATAGAGCACTGGCCCTGAAGTCAGGAGGACCTGAGTTCAAATTCGACCTCTGACCAAACACTTGACACCTACTAGCTGTGTGACCCTGGGCAAGTCACTTAACCCCAATTGCCTAAAAAGCAAAAAAAAAAAATTCTTACTTCTCTTTAGAACCATTTTGGAGTTTCTTGGCACAATTCCAGGATCCCTAAGGAGTTCAAAGGATTTTTTAAGGCAGGTTTTTTGGATTCATTTCTCTCCATACACAAATATAATACTTATTGATAGTGTTCTTGGACACATTCATTCCTCTTCTCTTTCTGACATTCTATCTGATTGTAGGTTATAGTTTTATTCAGTTTCTCTCTTTGACATTGGTCAATTGCCTTAGGTTTCTCCTCTCATGCTTTGGTACCTCTTCTTTCCACTGTGCCCAGAACTCAGAGTTGTTGTACTCCCCATATTGGAAGCTCTGGGTAAAGGACTTGCATTATCTGGGTTGTGATCTTCTATCCTTCAGGCCACAATGCTTGTTTACCTTCTACCTGGTCCTATGTTGCTTCCTGTAGGATGCGCTTGGGGGGGCAGGGCAGCATTAAGATTGAATCATTGCAATAGGACGGATGGAAAGGGATCCCTAGAGCCATTGCAAGCTTTGGAGGTTATACCATTCCACCTAACAGAAAGAGAGGTTGGTGGGGAGGGCAGTAAGGACTCTGAGTGAGGGGAGCTGAGTATTCATTTTCTGATATTATTTCATAAGTGCTTCTGTCTTCTCTTGTTGATACATCTTTAGTTTTCCTATGAATGGTGCATCATCCCTTTGATTCAAGGAATGTTTTCGAATTTGAGCTTCCAAGACAGACCAGAGCTGGATGTACAGATACAGGAGTCATCAGCACAGAGATGACAATTAAAGTGACTACAGCTGATAAAGTCACCAAATAAGAAAAGAGTCCAGGGAAGAGCTTTGGGATACACTGACAGTCAGGGGGCATGACTTGGAGCAGATGCCAGCAAAGGAAACTGAGGAACACTTTATGATAGACAGGAAAAGGACCAAGAAAAAGAGCAATAACATGACAATGCCCAGAGAAGACGGATCCAAAAGAAGTGTCGAGTGCTATAGAAACGTCGAGAAGGTTGAGAATTAACCAAAGGCCGTTAGATCCAGCAATTACACAAATCTTGGCAGCTTTGCAAAGAGCAGTTTCAGTTGAGTGAACAGATCAGAAATTAGATTTCAGAGAGTTTAGAGGAGAGTGAGAAGAATGGAAATGGATGCAATTAGTATAGATCTTTTTGTAACAATTAGTGTATCATATAGAGCTTTTTATAGCAATTAGTATGTAGTCTGTAGCTTTTTATAGCAATTAGTGTATGGTATATAGCTTTTTATAGCAATTAGCATGTAGTATGTAGCTTTTTATAGCAATTAGTGTATGTTATGTAGCTTTTTATAGCAATTAGTGTACAGTATGTAGCTTTTTATAGCAATTAGTATACAGTATGTAACTTTTTATAGCAATTAGTGTATGGTATGTAGCTTTTTATAGCAATTAGTATGTAGTATGTAGCTTTTTACAGCAATTAGTATATGGTATGTAGCTTTTTATAGCAATTAGTGTATGGTATGTAGTTTTTTATAGCAATTAGTGTATGGTATGTAGCTTTTAATAGCAATTAGTGTGTAGTATGTAGCTTTTTATAGCAATTAGTATACAGTATGTAACTTTTTCAAGGAATTTGGCTGAGAAAGGGAGGAGAGATTTAGGACAATAACTGGAAGGGATGGTAGGATCCAGAGAGGGTGATTTTTAAACTGCTGAGTCCATTGGCTTTTTCTCAGGCCTTTCACTCCTTGATCTCTCTGCGGCCTTCAACAAAGTTGGTCATCTCCTCTTTCCAGAAACTCTCTCCTCCCTTGGCTCCTGTGATACTTCTCACTCCTGGAGTGCTTCTAATTTATCCACTTGCTCCATCTAGTTTCCTCTCTGAGTGTGTGTGTGTGCCAAGGCCATTTGCCCTCTTTTGCTCTGCATGTGAAGGAGTCATCTTATAGGGATGATCTGTGTGAAAGAAGGAAGGACAGATGGGGACGTAAAGGGGAAACAGAAGACGTGGGCATGGAAGCAACAATGATAACATCGAGAGTTCTGCTTGACCCCAGCCAGCCATTATCTCCTATGTTTATTTTAAATATACATTATTAAGGTCAATGAATAATTTCCAATCACCTTATTATTTACTAAGTTGATTTATTCTTTTCTTTTGCTCATGTAGTGAATTTCAACAAGGAAGTCAAACTTAAAAGCAAGGCTGGCCTGAATATTTTTGTCCTTTCTACAAAGCAATGTTCTCTCCAGGGCGACTTCCTTTGGCCTGAGTGTTTCAGCTGTGTTGGCCAGTATCCTGAGAGTAAAAAAACAAGACCATGTTATTTCACTATTGTATTTCTTAAAGGACTAATTTTAAAAACAAATTAGCCCAAGATGTGAGAGCTCTTCTGTATGTTTTGTAAGATTTAAGGTTGGTTAGGTTCCAAGGAGGTGGAGGAAAACAGTCTTGGTGAATTCCCAAACATGGCTATTTGTCTATAACATCAGGGTCCCAGCTTATACTGTGCACCATACAGAAAAAGAAAATAGTTGCTTCTAAGTTACTCTTAACTACATTCCCTTTCCTTGTTTATATGGCGTATTCATAGCCAATGCACACACAGATCATATTCCAAGTCCATCATTATAACTGATCAGAGATTGCTAAGTAAACAAAGCCTATAGATTTCTTGTAGGCACAAATATCTCTGTTCCCTATGGAAGAACTTCAGATTGTTTCAGAGAAAATTGCATGGCATGTAAAGAATGAAGGAGTTAGAAAGAAAATCTTTTCTAGCTCAAAAATACTATTCTCTACCCCATCTAAATGCCACGTCTAGAATAGTGGAAAAGAAACTTAAGTAGGAGCTACAGCAGCTGAGTTCAAGCCCCAGCCTGGCCACAAACTAACTAGTCGGGGACCTTATGTAACTGCACTAACCTCTCTTTCTCATCTGTAAAATGAGGGAGTTAGATTGGATGTTTTACTGTCCTTTCCAGCTCTAAGATCCTATGATTCTGTGATTTAGGTGGTGCAGTGAATAGAGAGCCAGGCCTAGAGTCAGATCTAAGTTCAAATCCGGCCTGAGACACTTACTAGCTGTGAGATCCTGGGCATGTCACTTCTCCCTGTTTGCCTCAGTTTCCTCATCTGTCAAATGAGCTGGAGAAGGAAATGACAAACCACTCCAGTATCCCTTCCAAGAGAACCCCAATGGGGTCATGAAGAGTTAGATATGACTGAACAACAAGCTGCTGCTACCTTTTCATTACTCACACAGAGCAGGGGTGAGGGGAAAAGGGAAGGGAAATAGCATTTATTAAGTGCCTACTATGTGCCTGGCACTGAGCCATGCACTTTCTAAATATTAGCTCATTTGATCCTAGACACAACTAGCCCAGGCCACTTGCCCTGATTAGTGACCTCCTACTTGTTCATTCCGAGCTGCTCTCTCCATAGGAATGTCTCACCAATTAGAGGGTTAGCTTCTTGAGATGAGGGGTTCTCTTTTACCTTCTTTTGTAGCCTCTGCACTTAGCACAGTGCCTGCTGCATACTGCACTTAATAAACGTTTATTGACTGACTCACTGACATGAGCATCAACTCCAATCTACGCAGCCTCATCTCCTCATGAAATACCAAGTACATACATCTAGGCCTTCTACTCTAGATAAATGGGTTTTCACTCATCATTGCCTTCCCTTTGCAAACCTACAATCACATTTCATTTTATTTTGCTTTTACTAATGCCTTCATCCTGGTCTTTGCAAAATGTTTTAAATTGGGCTTACCCAACAGGTCAGTGCATTTCAAAGCTCTATCTGGCTGATCTTGAGATTATCAAAATCACCATTCCAACTACTGTCAACCACATGCCATCCAGATCTGGTGAATACATGTCATTGTTGTTGTTTGTCCTTTGTTCAAAGAGGCCCAGTGCCATCACAGGGTGATGTCTTGACTTGAACTTGTACTGGATTAACATGAGACAGAGCTGTGCAGTTATCAACCCTGTTCTTTCCTCCAGAGTCATCAAAGTCCAGTGGCAAGACAAAAGTCAAGGTGACCGGAGATGGCCCAGGATATAGTGGATGACCTCAGCATCTCTGATATCTGACCAGGCTCTAAGCTCTCCCCAGAGCCTTCTTCAGCCGCCTTCATGGCTGTCAGAACAAATTATTCTCATCTGCCCATTCTGCCAGGGGAAGTGCTTGGGGTGGATATCCCCATTCTATGATGGGTTTGAGGCCCTTTGATTACCTCAACCAGCTATAAACTGTCTGCCAAGAAGGCATTATGTGGGTGTGGCTGCTGTTTATGTTAAAGCTTCTTGGAGCCAAAGGTGACGATTGAGTGCCAGGTGGACACCAAAGGTGGATGAGCAGCTGGCAAGCCCTCACACCGGAGGTGCCAGTCTTCCTGAACACTCTATACACCCCAACACTCATGGGATGGTTTGAGGCTAGAGATGAATGGCAAATGTACTGTCTAAAATTTTATTAATAACTTGAATATCATGTATGTGTCTGTATATAATACATTTATGTAGCCATTTAAAGTTTACAGAATAATTCCACAATAACTGTGTGTGATGGATTATTATCCCCATTTTACATATGAGGAAGTTGAGGCTAAATAATACCTATCAGCCGTGGTGAGTAAGTGGCACAGTCTTCCTGGTGCCAGCTAGGTGGGCTGGATAATGAAGGCATGCTCATCAAAATTCCAAATGACTTAAAACTATGAAGAATAGTTTACAGGATATGTGAAAGTAGCAGGATTCAAAAACATCTTGATGGGCTGTGATGGTAGGCCAGAACGAACAAGAGGATCTGTTCAAGACAAACAGCTGTTTAAGGACAGGATGAGGGAGGTCTAATTTAAAGCAGTTTACTGGGGGATGCAGGGGAGAAAGGAGACAAGGGTTTTAGCTGATCACCAGCTGGATATGAGCTGCTAAAAAAAAAAAAGCCAAGCAGTACGTGGGATTGTTTTAATAGTGTGGTGACCACATAAAAGGAAGCAATATTTCCACTGCTCTTTGTACCTTCCTCCAGTTGGGCCACACCTGATGTACTGTTTATGGGCTAAGAGACTTGAAGAAACTGGAAATGGTCAAAGAAAAGCAACCAAGATGGGGAAAGGAGTTTGGGGATATTTTAGCCTGGAGAAGAAAAGAATCATGAGAAATGTGGTCACTATCTTCAAACACATGCAGGGCAGAAGTTAAGACCTATTTGGAAATCAAGAGCTAGGGCCCAATAGATGAGGTTACACATAAGGAGGCAATTTTGTCTCAATATAACAGAGGAACAGCCTAGCCCTTAGGAGCGTGAGCAGAGGGCTCAGCAGATGACATTCCTCTGTGGACTCTGAAGTGTGTGAAGACCTTCTGTGGTGGTTCCAGTTTGCTAACTACATGGTAAAGAAAAGCCTCTTTGATTGGCTATGGAACCAGAGCTGGGGTGCATTCCAAAGGCATTAATCCATCCTTTTTGACCTGATGAATCCTGTCTGTCTGACTCTGCTAGGTAAGAGATAACACTGAGGGAGACAGGCCTAAGGCCCTCCCTATCTGAGGCCAACCTATGGCCCCATGCTCTTTGCTTCTATGTATTTATTCTTCCTGCTTTAACGTGAAGGACACTAGAGATGTCTATGTCCTTGTGAGCTTCAAAAGGTCAGGAGAATAGGCCACTAGGAAGTCTGAGAGAGTCCATTCTGGGTTCTGGAGCCAGCGAGTCAGCTCTCTGAGGCAACGTGATGAGCAGTGCCATTCAGGACCCAACTCATCATTAGCTGGAACAGGGACTCACCCAGCAGCAACAGTGCCTTGAGATGCCAGCTCTATGGGGCCGATGTTACGGACAAGCTGCCTTAAGTCTAAGTCTCTCCCCAGAGGCTGAGACTCTCCCACTATTTAGTGGATAGTGGGTCCTCCCAGCGCTGGTGGGAGTAGGAAATATACGTACTTTGTGTTTTGCTACCTGTAGGCATACTGTCCCCAGGAATCAAGATGACAAAGGGGAGAGTGTGCCCCTCAGGTGTGAGGAACAGAGTTATTTATACTTCTTGCTCTATCCTCACAGTAAATACTCCTTTGTAATAGCTAAGGGATATGAATTGGGGCAGCTAGGTGACCCAGAGAATGAAGCCCTGGGACTGGAGTAAGGAAAACCTGAGTTCCAGTCCAGCCTCAGATACTAGCTATGTTAACTTGGGCAACCTTGTTTGCCTCAGGTTCCTCATCTGTAAAAAATGAGCTGGAGAAGGAAAAGGCAAACCTCTCTAGATCCTTGCCAAGAAAACCCCAAATGGGGTCCTGAAGGGGCAGGCGTGACTGAAATGACTGAACACCAACAAAAATGAATTGGTGAAATGAAAGTGGGACATAAAAAGCGAGGCAAGCTTACTGGATTGGAGGCTCAAGTCAGTAGCATCAGAGCTGAGACACTTCTATCCCTCAGGGACACTCCTAGGACCCCAAGCGGAGGTCGCAACTAGCTTCATTAGTGAGTTCAAAGCAACTGCTACAGAAGAAAGAATTTTCCAGGGACCAAAATTGTCTCCTCCCCAAACAGAAGGAGTTGCTGAGCAATAAAGTGGTTTCCATATCTCTGGCAGTGTTCAAGATTAGATTACCATCTGTAAGAAAAGTTTCTATAGGGACTCTAGGAACTACATGGTATTTAAGGTTCAGTCCAGTCAATTCTAAGAGTCTATAAAAATAAACATTGCAACAAGAGGAAGAATCCATAGGTGTCTGAAGCATCACATTAACAATGGCAACAATAAAATTAATAACACATTCCAGGACTTTGTGCTTGCTTTCATCTGGTGACTTCAAAGGACTTTATAAGGTAATGCAATTTTGCAGATAAAGAAGCCAAGACACTGTGGAGAAAAATGGTGCAAGAGTAAAACGAGATTGCTTAAGTTCATATAGGTAGCCCAGTGCATAGACTGCTGGGCCAGGAGTCAAGAAGACATCTTCCTGAGTTCAAATCCAGCCTCAGACACTTACTGGCTGTGTGACCCTGGGCAGGTCATTTAACCTGGCTGCCTCAGTTTCCTCATCTGTGAAATGAGCTGGAGAAGGAAATGGCCAACCACTCCAGAATCTCTGCCAAAAGAAGAAAACCTCAAATGAGGTCATGAACAGTGGGACATGACTGAAAAATAACTCAACAATAACAACAAAAAAATTTATATAGCACCTACCAGGTACCAGGTACAAATACTATCTTGTTTGATCCTCACAACAGCTCTGGGAGAGAGGAGCTATTCTTATCCCCTTTTTACAGATGAGAAAACTGAGGCAAACAAAGGTGAAGTGACTTGCCCAGGGTCACACAGCTAGTGAGTGTCTGAGGTCAGATTAGAACTCAGGTCTTCCTGACTCCAGGCCCAGCTTCCTATGCACTGAAGTACCACCTAGCTGCCTAAGTGTTGGCTCTCTCATTGGAATGTGAGCCCCAGGAAAGCAGGGACTGTCTTATTCTTTTATTTCTATTCCCAAGGGCCTAGCACAGGGCTTCACACATAGTAAGCACTTAATATATGCTTCGTTTGTTCATTCAGTCATTCATTCATTCATAGAACAGCTATAGAGCACTCTTCCATCTTAAAAGCCTTGGAATGCTGTAGCTGGAATGGATTTGGGAGAGCTCTTGAGATGAAACCTGGCCCCTGTATCAATTCAACCCACGCTGTACTTGCTAAGCCTCCTTCCTGAGAGGTCAGTATCTGTCCTTCCCAGTCTGCTCTGATTCCGTCACTCCCTGGAACATCCTCGGCATTCTTAACACTCCCCAGCCCTTGAACTTTATCCTGTTCTACTTTATGGTAATTTCTGCATCACCGCCACCATCTTTCCCTTTCATTGTGCCAGTTGTTTGGTTTGGCAGCTCTGCCCATCACAAGCCAGTGAGACTGGAAAGCTGACATTAAAAAGAATGCTTTGTGGTAAAGGGTCTGGCATCTTAGCTCCCCACATCAAGAGACTGGAACAGTAATACATGGCCAAGGTCTGCATTCCCTTGAGAACAACACACATTACTCTGGGTGATCTGAGACAGAGTTTTGCATTAACATTAGTTCTGGACTGGGAGGCTACCTGCAGGTATAGACAGCACTATGCTGGGGTCAGATCTAACTGGCTTCTAAGAGCCTGATGTTAAATTTTCAGTGTGGATGTTTATACCTCAGAAATCTGCGCTACAATCAGGGCTTGGTTTTACAGACTTCAGAAAGTGCTAATAAAGTGAATTAAACTTAAAAATGTGTGTATACTTTTTTTTTTCCTTCTGGAGAGCCCAGTTGTTACACATTTACCAGCATACCATTGTATTCCTTTATAAACACTGTTTTAGCTCAGTAGGAGTGCAGTAGAAGGCTCAGGGAATGAAGTCATCACCAGGCTGCAGGCCTGGTGACTGGAGGCTGATGCTGATAATAATAATGACAACAAAAATAATAGTATACTTTAAGGTTCACAAAGTGCTTCATCCACTATCTTATCTAAGCCTCACAATCCCCCTGGCTGGAAGCATTGTTATTATAAAGGCTCTTGGGGTTCAGGTTTCTGGGGTGTTAAAGATAACCCCAAGATGAGTGGAATCACACTGTCAGAGAGAGAAGCAATGAGTCAGGAGATAAGCCTGGTTTTGTTCATTAGGTTCTAGTTAGCTATTTCCAGGTGATGCCCTGGTCAGCCATACAGGTCTGGAACTAGATGTTAGAGCTTGTGGTATATAGATACTTGGAGTCAAATGCCTAAAGGTGGTGTGGATGAGGCTTCTAGTAGATTATGAACTTTTTGGGTGCAAGGCACAGGACTACGCCTTGTGTCCCCCTGTAGTCTAGGATGGTGCCCCACACAAGGTCCTTCCTCACTTAGCATACTAAACACTTGGATAGATATGTTGGCCCCCTACAGATGGGTAGGTGATTTGGGCTTCAGGGCATGTCCAATTCTAACATGGAGCCAGCTCCTAGACAGGCCTTGGAATACTCCCAGTTGCCTAGCACAGAACCCTGTTGTGTCCCCTAGCACCCTAGCGATGGGGTAGCCTCCTTTGATTGGTGTCTTAAAAAGTAGGGAGCCTGAACCCATGATTCTTTTCAGCTGTGTTCTTTCTCTACTTCTTGTCTATTGAACCTGGCATGGATGCCTACCTGGCATGGTTCTGGGAGTATGTGGTTTGGTTCTGTTCTGGGTGGTCTGTTCTCATTTTCTAACAATACAAGGCACTAGAGGTGATCCTCATGGGATCAACAGTCGGGTCAGTAGTGAACTTGGAGCCAGGATTGTAAGCAGGGTGGCACAGTGAATCACCCTGACATGCCAACCCTGAGAAGCAGAGGTGTGTGGGATTAAAGACCTGGGACTCTGATCTGTGGAGTCACAGCTAAGCTATGAACCTAATCCCCTTCCCCACTCCAGAGACCGAAGTGGTGCAGGGGAATAGAGGACACAGCATTGTGTCTCCCCTGTGCTGGAGAGAGTGAGTTTGTACATCTGTGGTTATACCACTTGAAGTAAAGATTCCTTTGTAAAACATCTGGGGTTTTCCAGACACTATTCAATTAAGGCAGAGACCATAAGCTCTAAGTGCACGTCAAACTTTGCTTTAAATATCTCCAATGATGAGGAACTCATTACCTAAAAAGGCAGCCCACTCTACTTTCGGAAAACCAGTTGCTAAAACTTTCCCCCTGAAGTTGAAATATGACTGTCTCCACTGGCTATCTCTGGCTTCTAACTTCCTAGGAAAGTCCCCAAGCGTGCCCAAGATCGCAGAGCAAGGTTCAAAATCAGGAATCAAAATCATGGCTTTTGATTCCAAATCCAATGCATTTCCTTTACCATGCACTCATCTATCCCAGAAGGCAGCCCTCAAAGCAATGGCACAAGCCACAGAGAGGCAAATTTTAGGCTTAATATACGGAAAAACTTGTCTATACCTCAAGCCATCAAAAGGGTGGGGAGGGGATGCACTGTACTACTTTGGAAGGGCCTCCTTCCTAGAATTCTTCAAGCAATGCTCAGATGTGACTCTGGCCAAGTCACCAGGACCTATCTAACCCTCAGTTTCCCCATCTGTAAAATGGGGGTAATCGGATTGGTTGATCCCATAACCAATCAGAGATTAAATGTTTAACAATGGTTCTGGGGGGGGGGAAACAGTTCACATGACATGCTTTTAAGATTAAGCTTCATTGTTAACATTTTCTCTGACACTTTCTTAAGTCTAGACAACCAAGGAAACAACAAATCAAGGCCTGATTGGTAGCTGAATATTTAACAATTGGCTCTCCCGAATCAGAGCTATGGTTTTTCTAGTAGGAATGTATGGTTGTGAGTTAGACTATAAGGCAAGCTGAGTGCGGCAGAATCAATGCTTTTGAATTGTGGGGCTGGAGAAGACTTTTGAGAGTCCCTTGGACAGCGAGGAAGTCAAATAAGTCAACATTTAAAGAAATTAATTCTGACTCTTCATTGAAAGGTCAAATACTGAAACTGAAGCTTAAATACTTTGGCCGCATAATGAGAAGACAGGACTCATTGAAAAGGACTGGGAAAGATTGAAGGCTAAAGGAGAAGGGGAGAGCAGAGGATGAGATGGATAGATAGCGTCATGGAAGCAATGAACACGCACTTGGACAGACTTGGGGACAGTGGAAGACTGAAGGGCCTGGCCCGATGTGGTCCAGGGAGTCACAAAGAGTCAGACCAACGGAACAACAATCTCGAGTCCGGAGCCAGCTCTAACCCTCCCAGGTGTACCTCCCAGGGCTGTAGAGTCACAGCTAAACTATGAACCTAATCTCCTTCCCCACTCCAGAGACCGAAGTGGTGCAGGGGATAGAGGACACAGCATTGTGTCTCCCCTGTGCTGGAGAGAGTGAGTTTGTACATCTGTGGTTATACCACTTGAAGTAAAGATTCCTTTGTAAAACATATAGATAATATGAATAACATGCGTGGCAAATCTCAAAGTGCTATTTCAGTGCAGGCTAGGATTATAAATAAAATGGATCCTTTTTTCAGGTGTGGGTTGGGTTACGCTGCTGCCAAGGTCTGTTGCAGCTGGGAGATTTTATTTTCTCCACAGATCACAGCTGTGGAGCTGCTGGGGCACAAAGCCTGCATTTTAGAGGACGAAACACGGCTTCCTGAGGCGTCACTTTGTGTGGATCTGGTATATATATCTATACATTTATCTATGTACAGATATTTGTGTATAGGAACATGCACCCAATACATATGTGATATGCAATCTCCCACATTATTACACAAGCTTCCTGAGGGCAGGGACTTTCTTTGTATCCCCAGCGCTTAGTTACTTAGTTACTTAGTCTGGTTACTTAGTGAAGACTTAAGAAATGCTTGTGGAGTAATTGATGACACTAAGAAGGGACGCGACTTGCCCAGGGTTACGCAAAGGAGCAGCGAGCCCCGATCGGGAGCCTGGCAGAATCCACTGGAATTTGTAGTCTCAGCAATAGAACAATTCTGCTTCTGAAGAATCCCAATGAATACAATCAAAATGCAAAGTTGAAGGAGCTTGCTCAAGACGGACAGAAGCATTCTATCAGGGACGATCTTCTGCTGGTCATTTATGCGACGTGGTATGGTCAGTGCCAGGCTGGACTTAGAGACCGGCAGACCTGAATTCTAATCAAAGCAGCTAATGCGTGAATGCGTGTAAAATGCTCTGCGAATCTTTAAAGGGGTGCATAGATGCTGTATTATAATTGTCATTGCTTTAAAGCTTCGGGCTGGGTGACTATCCGGCAGCCAACAAATGTTAATAGCCTTGCAAACCCTAAAGTCATTTTTAGTTACTGATATATTGTTTCTCTTGCTGCTATTGTTACCCTGCCTCCGTTTCTTCCCCGGTGAAAGGGGTGCAATAGTATCTCTCTCTCCAGCGCTTTGTGCCCCCACCATCTGGAGGCGATAAAAAAAGGTGCCCAGCTTTCCCCAAATGTATGAGCCACGCGGAGGAACGGACGGCCCGGCTACCGCCTTTCCAGGCTCCAGGACTGGAGCCCGGGGAGCTGGTTGTTAAATGCTTGGGGTGAGCATTTGCACCTCGGAAGCCGCAAACTCGGCAAGCCCGAGGCTGGACTTGGTGTTTTGTTGTTGGTCTGCACTAAGTGACGGAGGAGGAAATGTGAACTGTGCAGAAGAAAGGTGGGAGCGTGGATCCGATCGTTAAACGTTTCCTTCCTGGACCGGCCGCGGCCAGGTCTACAGAGACCTGCCAGGGGTCTCTGAGCCGCCGCCCTCGGGTCCTCATTGCGGGGTGGGGGGGGTGTATGGGGGCCGGGGTAGAACCGTGAGGCCGCGAGGCTGAAGGGACCCGAGGGCGGCACGTCATGACCCTGCGCGTGCGCGCGCACCGCCCTCCTCCACCCCAGGGCGCGCGCTCCCAGAGCCCAGGGCGCCCAGCTTCCGAGAGCGAGCTGGGCCGTTGTGCGGCGGAGGAGGACACACCCCTACCACGCGGCGGCGCATCCTCTCCCTCCCCTCCCCCGCCCCCGACCACCCACTTCCTGACGGGTCCGCCCCAGACTCGCGCGGGGGCGGGCCTAGTGTGGGGGCAGGGGGGTGCGTACGTAGTCTCGCGAGACCTTCTGCGCGGCCGCGCAGACGCGGCCGGGAGGCCGCTAGCTGGGGGCAGGGCCGCGCGGCGGCGGGGGCGGGGCTCGGCGGCGGCGGGGGCGGGGCCCGGCACGCGGGGTCTGGGCCGCGCAGGTGTCCGCGCGACCAGTCGGCGCTCCCTCCAGCTTGGGGAGGAGGCGGCGGCGGAGGCGGCGGCGGCGCGCATGCTCCGGACGCGGCGGCGGCTTCGGCGGCGGGCAGTGCCCGGGGCGGGGCCCCTGTGGCGGCGAGGTGAGCGCCCCGGGAGCGGCGCGGGCTGGGGGCCGAGTTTGCGGGGGCTGTGGGGCCTGGCGGCCGCGAGCACTACTTAGGCGCCGGCTGTGTGCGCCGGGGGTGGGGGGCAGCGGGGAGACCCCCGCCCCTTGGAGCTGGGCCGGCGAGAGGGCGTCCTGCCGGGGCTGGATGGAAGCTGGCAGCCGCGGGGACGCCGAGGCGGAGGGCGCTCCTGGCGGGGGGACCGCCGGGCAAACACCCGGAGGCGGGAGATGGGCGGGCCGCGGGGCGGGAGAAGCCGGTCCTGCAGACCGAGAAGGGGCTAAGGCACCCGGCCGAGCAGGGTTATCGAGGCCGGACGGCGGGAGGCCTGGGTCCGCAGAGTCCGAGCGTTTGGGGCAGGCGAGGAGCTGCTTACACGCTTTCGTCGTGGGGCAGCGAGTGGCACCCGGCCCGGGGCCCGGGGGCCAGACATCCGGGAGCGGGGCGCTCCCGGACCTGGCGGGGCGATGCAAGCCCAGGATCGGACGCCTCCACTCGCGGAGCATCCAGCGCCAGGCAGCCCCTCCTCGAGGGGCTTAGCGCTGCCTTCCATCCACTGACCATCCCCTGGACCATCAGGCAGCCGAGCGCTAACGTGCCATACCTCAACCCTGGCAGAGCCGTGGGGGGCCTTGCCCGAGTCCCGCCGCTGGCCCTGGATGCCGGCCGCTGCCCAGCCCTCCACCAGAAGGCCGTGCCCGGAAGTTTTGAAAGGGAGAAGCAGTGCAGCCAAAGCAACCTGGAGGCAGCTGGGCCCACGCTTCGTTCTCTGCTGCCTTCCACACCCCCTGAAGGGAGGGAAGTGCCGGCTGCGCCCTGCCCATTGGAAGCACTCCCCGTTCAGTCCTGGTGATTGTTTCTTTGTAAGACACTGAGTGGGAGTGGGTAGAAATCTGGGCAAGTCACTTGCGGCAGGTTGAGCTCCCGGGCCTGTATGTGGTGTCCGACCCTCTGTGAGCCCATTTGGGGTTTTCTGGGCAAAGATACTGGAATGATTTGCCATGTCCTTCAGCTCATTTGACAGATGAGGAAACTGAGGCAAAGAGTTAAGTGACTTGCTCAGGGTCATACAGCTACTAAGTGTCTGAGGTTGGATTTGAACTGAGGAAGAGAAGTCTTCGTGACTCTGGGTTGGCCACTGTCCACTTTGCTACCAAACTTGAGACACTTACTAGCTCTGTGATCTTGGGCAAGTTTTTGCCTCAGATTCCTCAACTGTAAAATGGGGATAATAATACCTACCTCACAGGGCTTTTGTGAGGATTAAATGAGATGACACCAGTAAGCACCACAGAAATGATTATAGTACTATTGTGATAAATTATTACTAATAGTAGTAGTACTACTACTTCTATTATTTCTACTACTGCTGCTGCTACTACTACTGCTACTACTACTACTGTTACTACTACTTCTCTTCCTCCTCCTCCTCCTCCTCTTCTTCCACCAACACCACCTTTGAGTGCTCTGGGCAGATGATAACATATATACATTGGTAGAGAGAGTGACCGACACTGGAAATTCCTTATACTGGTGAACAGCCAGGTCTGGCTCTCCCGTCTTCAGATGTGCAGATTGCTTTCCAGGGTCGTGTGCTGGTTCATCTAAGTGTCTCTTTGCCTCTCAGTAATTGGAGTTTGCATTTCTTTAGCTCTCCTGGGTTTGCACAGCACTTAACCTGCATTATCCCCTTTGACCCTTACAACAGCCCTGGGAGGGAGGTGCTCTTATCCCCATTTTTTGAGATGTGGAAACTGAGGCTAAGAGCCATTACCTTCCAGACTTGCCCAGGAGCACAGTTCAGTAAGTGGCTGAGGCTGGATTTGAACCCAGGTCTTCCTGAGAAGTCCACTACTGTCTTTACCCACTCAGCTGCCTCAGTTATGAACTGTTCCTATTCATCTTTTCCTGGAGTACAGTTAATGTGCTCTTCCGTTGTTCTGCCATTGCCTAATAAGCATTGGACATCTCTAGTCTCCCACTTCATCGCTCTCACCCGAAGTGCTGTGATGGAGCCACTGGTGTATGTAGGACCTTTCTTTCGGCCTTGTCTTCCTTGGGGGGCATGTACCTCCTGACAGCAGCACCGCCACACTGTGGAGTGTTTTGTCATTTCAGGGTATGAAACTCAAATCCATTTTTAACTAAATCTAGTCATCTTATTTTCCATCTTTTTCAAATGTTTTTCTTCAGATGATAGTGATTAGGCAGATATATGTCTGTGTTTAAAAAAAACTGAAAAAAGATACACTATTTACCTTGAATTGCAAACTTATAATTAGACCATTTTAAATAAACACTGTGTGTGTGTGGAGGGGAGGGGGATAGACTTGATTTATTTCAGTCAGTTGTAGACAAAATACTTTATTCACCCAATTGACGATAAGAGTCACACAGCTAGAAATTATTATGTGTCTGAAGCTGGATTTGAACTCAGGTTCTTCCGGCTCCAGGGCCAGTACTCTATCCACTGCGCCACTCGCTGTCTCGAATATTGGTTGTTCTTGAAATGACTTGGGCCCACAAGCCCTTTTTCTAGTCCCATTACTTTTGCCTTCTCCAAGGCCATCATTGCGTCTTGCCTGGACTATTCCAGTAGCCTCCTAATTGATTTCCTCTGATGTTAGCCTCTCCTCTCTTTAATTCACTCTCCACTCAGTTACAGGAGCAATCTTCCTGAAGATCTGATCATGTCCCTTCCCCAGTGATGAACTTTTGGTGGCCTCTTCCCTTGCCTTTAGGGTAAAACAGGCCTTGGCTTGGCATTGGAGGCCCTTCTCAGCCTGGCTTTGGAAGCCCTTTCCAGTTTCTTTGACATTCTTTGACTTTATCGCCTGCCTGGGCTCCAACCACACTGGCTGCCACACTCTCTCCACCTTCAGCCTGACAGAGCTGACCCCCAGGCCTGGAAAGCACTGTCTTCTCACCTGGGCCTCTGCTGAGCCTTATCTGCTGGCAAGGTTTAACTCGGTGCTGCCACCTCCTAGGCCTGTCCTGACCCTCCTCCTTAGCTGTTACTCATCTCCACCTTCTCCTTGTATCTTCTGTCTCCTTATCTGAGTGACTTCATGTTCTCCCTCAACCTAGTTACATTTATGCCCATGGAGAACAGGGACTTTTCCCATTGGTCCTTGGGCCTTGCACAGAGCTGGCACGTACTTGTTAAATTAAATGTACTTACTTTGTTAGTAAGAGCTCTCTCAAGTGAATTGTTTTTTCTTTAGTAAAAGAATTGCCTTTAGCATTTTTCCTTCTCAGGCCCCAAAGACTATTCTTCAGCCTGGCATGTAAGCCTGATTTAGGTAAGACTATTTTCTAGTGATAAGTATTTCAAAAGTGCTGTCTTCAAAAAAAAATTATTTCGTTTAAAAAATTATCTGGGGTATTATAATTTATAAAATGAGTTGGTATAATTGACATCAGATCTTCCAGGTAAATACGTATTTTAGCTTTGTATAATATTCTGGAGCAAAATCCCAAGGACCAGATGGTGTGGAAATTTTATAGCAAAAAACCCCAAGAAGTTGAAATAAAGTTAAAATTTGATCTGATTTATTTTATGGGAATGTAAACAGTCAGCTCAGTTCGTTTGTTGCATATGTGGTCTTGCTGAAATAATTTGTGATCAGTTTTGGGCAGGAATTAACCTTACTAAAAGTTTTTACTTCCAAGCTAGATGTAAGGTAAAACAGTTTCTTAAGCTCCATTTAAAGAGTGCAGTTACTGAAATACTGAACTGGTCTCATGCTTAGGGCAGTTGCCTGTAAGGTAGTTCCCATGGCAAGGATCTGCCTCCGTGATTAACAAAAGTCATTTAGTTTACAGCATTGAGCATCTTGTAGTCTGGTGTGAGGTAAGACCTGTCATTGTGGGATGTGTGTGACTCTTGTGCTGGGCCTGGGCCCTGCCCATCCAGGTCCCTTCTCGTCCTCTTAGTAGAAGTCTCTGGATTCTTGGTGGTGTGTGTTGTCTGTAACAGGACTTTGAACATCAAGCCTGGTCTGATTGTGGTGAGGCACGGTTTCACAGTTCTGTCATTATTGACTTATTTGTGCTGGGGTGTGTGTGTTTGTGTTTGTATATGTGTATGTATTTTTGGTCTGGATCTGGCATGTTACATTTTTACAAAATAGCATTTTGTTGTATATTTACATAATTAATAGACCTTAGGAGTAAACAGTATTTTCTGGGTCATTGTGGGTATCCTTAGGTTACTTTTTAAAATTCTAAAATAATATGCTTTTGATGGCAAATTGTTTGTTTTACCATCAGAGGTTTTTTACAAGGCAGATCCTCTGTAAATCTCAGTGCATCCAGTCAAATGCCCAGCTCCCTGGGTTTACACTGACTATGGAGGCTAAGTTCCTTTAAGCTGAGAATTTCAATTCTAGGAACATTTCTCAAAGACATAATATGTGCCTGGGTGCAGGGCTAGACTGGGGTCCTCCAGGTGTACAATGGGGAGATTAAAGCATGCTGGCCCACCTTGATCAGAAAACCCAGCTAGGTTTGGGGAGGAGCTGGAGCAGAGGGTGGAATGGTAAGGAGCAGCTTTGTGTGTGAAGATTCCCAGGGAGGACGCTTAAAAAGGAGGTGGGTTAGTTGGCTTGGTGGAGAGTATTTGGGTAAACAGCTGTGGTTGGAGAAACAGAAGCAGGATTATGACAGAAATCGACTACAGACCACCTAGGCAGAGAGAAAACAGGTGATCTGGGGAAATGCCACTAGCCTGACTCCGGGATGGGGGTCAAGAAACGGGATTTGAGTTGGCTGGCCATCTGTAGGACATTCGTTCCCTCTTTCTCTTTCCTCCTCATCTCACTGTCTCTTTCTTGTCTTTCCCCCATTTCTAATTTTGCCTTCCCAGAGGGGAAGTTCTATTCTGAGTCTCATTCTTAGTGACTAAGCAGGAATTGGATGCTAGAAACAAGTTCAGGTAATAGCAAAAGAGTAACAACCGCACGACCCGATTCCTT